GCTCATTTTGGGGGTTTCTCCTTACCAAGACGCGCGAGAACACTGAAATTCTGTTTACTACTGACCCTCTTTTTTTCTGTAACAAAGTTGTAATGGCATAGATATCACTAGCGATTTGGCTTTATGCATAAATTTTTCACATTTTAAAGAAGAATATATGTGTAACCTTGTCAAATTTTGAAACATTGTCACATTTACAAGAAGAATAAGTGTGAAAACATGTCATTCTCTGAAACCTTTATAAGAAAAAGTGTAAATCCTTGTCAAACCTTGAAACAGTGTCACATAAAATTTACAAGAAGAATGAGTGTGAAATCTTGTCACATTTACAAAAAGAATAAGAGACAAACCTTCCTCTGCCCTTATTCTTTGTAACTCGGCTTGCTGTCTCTGTTGTGCCAGTATTTTCTTTGTTTTAGTGGCAGTGCCTTGAGGTAGATTAATAGTATAATGACCTTCATCTTCTGGGAACACACGACGGTTCTTCTTCGGTACAGGCACTACCTCCTTAGGAATATTTCGAGTTGTAATTTTTATTGTTGAGGGTGCTGGCAGGGATTCTGTTTAACACATATCAGAATTTAGTATAATGTGATAATATAAAGTATTATCTATGGAAAGACAGTGTGTTTTTTTTTTAATTAAAAGTAACAAAGTATTATGTGTAAAAAGAAAACTGACTGCAAAAATGTAAGTAATAGCATCGTGTACGAACAAAAATAAGTTTTGCATTTTGTTTTTCTTGATTAACAACACTGACTGTGAAATTGAAATTTGATTGTTTCTTCTTCCATAACCAGAAGGTTGTATCTTGTCTATTCATAATTCAATTTTTGTATAAAAAAAAAATAAAGAAAACGAAAAGAATAAAATTTGAAAGAAAACTTATTAAAAACAGTACTGCTAAAAACCAACAACACCTTTTTAGTGTTTAGTGAGTAAAAGAAATCTTAGCATAACATGTAAACTGAAAGGTATATATTTGCCAAACATTACTTTTTAAAAATAATTGGTCATGTTTTCACCCCTATTGCAAAATTGTGAAATTTACAAGCTTTGAAGTAAAACCACCACTATATTTTGTGCTATGACAGAGAATATTCTCCATCATGAAAATATCCTGAAGTATGGTATATATAATTATCTACCAATTACCTAGTACACATAAGCAATTTCCTTTGAATGACCTCTATCACTATGATTTTTATAATGAAAGAAAATAATGGAAGAAAATTACCTGAGGTAGGTGATCCAAGTCTGGCTGAGAGTTCTCGTGAGATTTTAGGAGATGGAGTGAGGGATGGAGAGGCACTTCTATCTGCACTTCCTAAATAATGCCCTATAGTACGACTGGCAGCTACAATATAGAAATGTACACATGTAAGTTATTATTTGTATTGTAATAATTACATCAAATCAATTCGAGTAAATAAGTGAGAAGTTGTGCAGAGTACTTTTATGTAAGTCATTTTGTAACACAAAATTTGGTGCAATAGCAATCATCTGAAAAATATTTCTTTAGAAAATATACATGTACTGCACCTTTAATAAACATAATCATGATAATGTTCAGTAACATGTTATGCTGTTTATTGATAATTTTAAATAATACACAATTGTGCAGCACATGACATTTCAAAATCAGTTATTTATAAACTTGTTCACAAAATTTTGCAACTGTTAATATTATAATAATGTAACTCAATATACAACTTCTGTTTAATCTGTGTAAATGACAAAATTAAGGTTTGCCTGAACATGTCTTCTAACAACATCTAATGCCTCAATTGGTGTCACTAAAGTCTTCATGTTTAAATACATTTTAAAGCCAAAAAGAAAAAATCATGTTTTTTTGTGTTTTTTTTTTTTTATTCACAAGTTCAAAATTATTTGAAAACTTTTTATTTTACAAACAAATCTTTTTTGTTATAAAAGTACAATGTTAAGAAAGTGACATTTTTTTTTCTGACAATAGGTTTCTATCATATACCAAAAATGAAATGGAATTGTAAAACGGAATACCAAAATAAAAACATATTACTTACGAGTTGACCGTTTTGGAGTAATAACCTCAGCTATAGTAGTATCTCTTAATGCCCTATCTCTTGCATCCTAAAATACATAAACATTGTGAGACAACACCCAAAGTTTAACTAAATTATAAGGGCTGGCTTTGATTCAGACGTCATACTATTTATACTATAATAACAAACAATCAACTGTACTTTCTTCAATGTAAGAAATTGCTCAGAATCACACATCCATTTTTTAAGGTTAAAGTTAAACTGTATTAAAAATTGATTGTGTTGAGTAAAATATTTTAAGACTTTGCACTTTCCAGTTTGGTTGAAAGTAAAAATACTTTAGATGTCCAGTTATATCTTCAAATAATGATATAAATAAAGTTAATGTTTTCAGTATGAATACTAAAAACAATTTGAAGATCATAATTTATCTATTTAACATATTGTCATCATCTTTCAAATTTCAAACATTGACATTAATGCCAGCTTACCTGACTGTGAGCAGTTTTGGCATATTTCAATATAGCAATGACATCACCCAGTATAGATATGCCCATATCATTGAGATATTCTTTAGTGAGATCTAACAACATAGCTCGTGTAATCCTATTATCTGTGAATGTCACTGCATAGTTAGCAGCATCGCCAGCGGGTATACCAGCTTTCCTTGAAAAAACTTTATCCAAAACGACATGTCTGCAAAAACAAATAAGCACAACCTGATTAATGATTGTGCATTAATGTGTAAATGTATATGTAAAGGAGTATTGTATACTCAAATTTGCTTATGTTTAACAGAAAAAAACAACTTTGCCTGTCATCGAATTTAGCACTGGCCCAGAGGCCCATGGCCAGTGAAAATTAGTTCGGGCCAGTGAAAATTTTAAGAAAATTTAGTTATATATATAGTAGAATAAATTCAAAACTGGAATTTGGGCTAGTAAATTAAAAAAATCTTAAATTCATTGACTGCTTTGAGGAGGGGGTGGATGGGGGGGGGATTTAATAATTGTCATATATAAACATTTTTATCACAATTCCATTTGGGGAAAAGTAAATTATTTATTCATTCAAAAAATTGGGCCAATTTGACATGAGGTCAATCTGTCTTGGGACGATTAGACTGTTATTCTTAGCATAGCAAGTGGTAAAGTTTCATCTAAATTATTGAGTTTGATCATTCTTGGTGTAATTTTGTTATTAGAATTTCTGATTTTGTAAATGAAAAAGCTTTTAATTGGTTATTTTATGCTTATTTCCTTATTTGCCTTTAGTTAATAGGAAGATTTGTAAAAATCTTTTGTTAACTCATGTTGAACTTGACCCTAAACCAGTTCTAGGCAGCTGTAGCCAAGTACGAAGTTGACACCCTGTTTTTATCCCATAACCACATGCCACTTTTTAATGCTGTACATTTTCAGCTTACTGTACATTATCTTACATAGGGATTCTCTTAAATATGTAATGCTGTCACTGAAGGTTCTCCATGTACCCTTTTAACCTTATTTCTCCACTCCTTACATATGGGTATTGAAATCATGTCTAGAATGATGTTAAAATGATTGTTTTATCTGATTAATGCGCACAAGAACTATTTTTAGGTAAAGGATATTTGAAAAATTAAAAATAAGGTTTTTAAAAATATGTCTTATTCTGGTTTCATAACAGATCTAATTCATATCTTCAATGCCGCATCAGATGAAAGTAATATTTTTTAAAAAGCGGCTTATAAAGTTTTGGGAGCCAGAACTAACCTTCACCTAGTCGTTATTTCTAGTCTCACTATCCCAGATGCCTAATTCAGCTGTTATCATTTTAAACTAATGTATCTTCTTAAAATCTGATGCAAAGTCTTGCTTTACAACGGAATTCAAGAAGTAAGTATGTACATAAATGTAGGTCTACTGACAGGTCAATAAGTCTGCGTTAACCTTGTTTCAATCTTGTGTCTAGACAGTAGTACATGATGTCTTCTCACTTCCCCACAGAGTGTGCACATTGCTGAGAGGGCACAGGGCATTGGCAGAAGATTTGAAGAACTTGGGATTGCAAAAAATAAGCAAAGTCTAGAACTTTAACTGCCCGCCAGCCGCCAATATCCTGACTAATGCCAAGGGGAGTGGTCCTACGATGTAGCAGAGACTATGAGGATTGGTGTGCTAAGGTGTTTTAAGCCCCTTAGCACAGATAGACAGCTTGTAAGACAGGGCTGCGTTTCATGGAGAGTCCTAAGTCTTAAGTTTGTCTTAAGATAAAAATTGTGACAATTTTGCGTTTCAAAGAAAGTCTTAACCTTTTCCCTCATATAAGCGTGTTTCGACGGCTTTTTGCCCCCCCCCCCCCTTTTGAGGCCTCAAACAGTGAAAAAATGCCCTATTTAGGCCCCAAACACTGGTTTTCGTTTGAGAAATGTTGTTAAAAAAGTGACCACTTTTTCGGTGCCGTCCCCCATCCAAATGTTACATCAGGGGGTTGCCAGAAGGGGGATGTGCCCTCTAGAATAATAGATAATGGTCTAACTAAGAAAATAAATCCTATCACCAATATCTTTAATTCAGTCATTAACGCTGTACAGACGTTTAAAGAGTTGTCATAATGTAGTGCCAAATATCGCGTGCAAAACAAGACGCATCTATAAATAATAATATTACAGCGCGCTGTACAATTGCAGTTGCTTAACAAGCAAGGGGGTTCGTAACCATTTTTTACTTGTATGAAATTAAAAAATAAAACGGTTATTTTATTTTTATCGTTTTTTCATGAAATATGGTATATATTTTTCACACTCAACATGATAAGAGGACAATACATTTACTTTTTACACTTGCTATAATCAATTTCATAGTAAATCCAATCCGGGATTATGCGCGTGCCATTGTATTTTGTAACTTTTTTCAGGAGAGCTAATTGGTCATAAGTCTTAAGATACTTTGACAGTTACTTGAAACGGTCTTAAATGCAAAAACTTTTTCTCCTAAAGTTGGTCATTTTAAGTCCTTAGGATTTAGGATATTAAAACCCTAGGATTCCTCATTGAAAACGGGAGGCCGGGTCTTTTGCTTTGGGCTACCAACAGCCCTAATAAGGGCTACTTCCTTTTCATTAAATTGTCCTCCAGGTTTATTGCACATTTTAGGTTCACTTGGGTTGACCCAACGTAAAGGTGACCTTCTTTTGGGCTCAAAATTTGATATCTTTTTGGCTTTAATACTCTATGGAAAATTATTTTGGGACATAAATTATCACCACTTTGTGCCTCAAAATTAAACCTGTAAAGGCAAGACTGCAGGGCTTTTTTTCGTTTATAGCTGGGGCCGGTATAGGGCTACTTCCCCAAATAAAAATCTTTAAAATCATGCAGTTTTCCCCAAAAATTGAATTTCATAAGTTTTTTCTTCCCCTTTTGTTTATATACTGTGTAATTTTTCCACAAAAATAACGACTGGGCTACTTCCCCAACCTGTGAAAAAAAGCCCTGGTCACTGGTGACATGTCCGTGGTCCGTACTTGGAAAGCTGCTTTTTTGTGCCTTCCTCCGTTCCTTGGCAGACGGACCCTCATTAATCATAGACTACATGCATACATACATATAGTACGTGTATAGTAGGCTCATTCCGTAACTATAATTTTAGAAATTACTGTGTATAATGTAGACTGGAAAAAATTCCAGTTCACTTACCGATTTTCTCTGACTAAATCTGTAAATTCAAATTGTCAAAAAAAAAAATTTCAACACCTTCAAGTAAGATTCCACTTCTTTAGTGCATCATAATTGAAAATTGACAACAAAAATTGGACTTTAAACTACATTAACCTCATTTTTTATCGTAAACGCTTCTTCAAAAACTAAAAATAACACTAATTAAATCGCAAAATTTTATCTTACCAGTTGACGCGGCCATCTTTTTTTTCTGGTGGTGATAAAACCTGTTGCAACTGGACCGTTCTTTTATCCGGTATAGTGATATGACCGATGCAACAAAGCCCAAAAATACATAAATATATGTGTATTTTAAATGTTAGTATACGATAGGGATCTATAATTTTAAATGGGGTTTGAAAAATATATTACCAGTATAAAACTTAACGGTATGCCCAAAATACGAAAGTGACTTATAAAATATTAAATATACCATTAATTTGAATTTATATTAATATAACAGTTTGTAGACGCATAGTTTCAAAAATGAATAAATTGTATATTTAAAAAGAATCATTATGATGATTTAATATCTATGCATTTTCTCTTATAATATATGTCTGCTTAGTGCATTATTAGTAAAAATTTATTAGTTACTTTCGTATTTTTCAATGTAAGTGAAAGGAAGATCTCAGAACTTGTGTATAGAAATAATGCAAATAAATAGCGATTAAATCATCATAATGATTATTTTCGATAATAAATATAAACAATTTCTGAAAAATATACGTCTACAACCTGCAATTTTATTGTAAAAGTCTATTAAAACGCTATAATTCATATTTTAAAAGTCACTTTCTCACTTTCGCCAAAAAAGTCACTTTCGTATTTTAGGCAAACCCTAAAACTTAATGTAAATAGTTTTCATTCAATGACATCATTTCATCAGTTAATTCAGAGACATAGATGTTATATACATCTCTAGTTAATTTTACACGCAATTAATATCTGTTGAATGAAAAAAGGTTTATCCCTTGTCGATATTTTGTGAAAAAAAAATCTGTTTCATATTATGCTCATAATTATGTCATAACCAGAAACTCGAAATAAGAGATAATCAATTTTAATAGAGCAGGAAGACGCGTTATTAATTCACAAAGGCATAAAATGAATAATACACAAAATGATTATCCTAAATAATTCATACTAGTTAACTTATGACAATTCTATTATAACAGATAGTCACATGGTCATGCATATGCTTATCATGGCCAATGTAGGCCTAATACCTATGCAATGATAAAACATCTGATATAACCACTGCCTTTGGACAACATGCATGCATATGTTGTGTTAACTAATGCCTTCTTTCACAGAATTGTAGAAAAAGATTGATTTGGGCTTTTAAAAAAAGCCATTCACACTCACTCACTCACTCACCTCACCTCACCTCAACTCACCTCACCTCACCTCACCTCACCTCACCTTTGCCTTATATTGACCAATTCAAGCAAGTTGTGGATAAGATACAATATTAGTAAACAATTTGTGTTTTAACTTCTTATCTTTTATCCACTTTTACTTATAATCAATGAATAATTTAACAATTGTTTGAATTGTTTCATAGTCCTTCACTATTCTGATAATATCCATTGTTCAAGTTTTTACTGTAACACAAAACACTTATATTTTTGACATGCACTTTTACTGCCTATAAAAATCTGAAAGTTGTGTGGTCCTATGAAGCAGTGAAAACTGTAATATCTATATATAAAATTGCAGAATCGGTTTGATTGTTGCTGTTCATAATAGATTATATAAAAGTGCATCATTTATCACGCCCACTAGCATAGCTTTATGCATTGTTCTTCGTTTTTCTAACATTTCAATGCGTTTCAAGTAGTTTTAAATATAATAATTCAGGAAACAAAATCGTCAATCTAAATTCTAATTGCAATAATAAAATCATGGAGTTAAATATATATTGTTTATATATCTGTGATAAAATGACAAAATAAACCTACAAACCACTTACAAATTCTTTCTTTCTAATA